AACCGGTCAAAAAAGGCAGCTCACACACTACATCTTGTTTTCATTTTTATCTCAGCAAGAAAAAAAAATCCAGCATCTTGCCTTGGATCATAAACATCAATGACCACTTTTGCACCTTGTCCACCATTCAACTAAAAATTACCAACCTTCTCGATAACGGCCAGATGTTGCTTGATTTGATTCTGATAATCATCAAGTTTCGACTCCAGATCGAGATGACTGGATACTTTATGTTGGCACTGTTCAAGCTGATTCTCCAAAACCAGGCAGGACTCTTGCATCAAATCATTTTCCTCTTTTAGCTGCTGAACAATGTAACTTGGTCAAGATGCATTAAAAAGAAATACAGATACTTTTTTTATGGCATTTACTTACACGTGAAATTCTAGGACTGGAAATAGCTGAAATGAAAAAAAAAAAAAAACAGATGCTTTTCTACAGAAATTCAGTAACACATGGCGAATGCTGCAAAATGCTTGAGGGGGCACAATTTGAAGACCCAAATTATAGCTTCGAAAGAAAAAAATAAATTACCGCTACTCTGGATTTGAAAAATTCCATTTCCAATAGCTTCTCCTTCAATTTCGCATTGTCGGCTTCCAGTTTGTCGTAATTTAATAGCTAAAAATTTTAAAGTGAGTTAAAAGTTTTCACGAAAAAATTTGTCATCACTTAAAAAAAGACACAAGGCTTCACATATCGCTTCTTTTTTATTTCAAAATCCAGCCTAGAACATACAAAGGATTCTACCACCAAGATTTACATTTTACAAAAATTTTTCATTCGACGCTTTCACTACGAAGGCACAAAACCTGAAGAATTGTGAGCATTTAAAAACATTTGCACTGCAGTTTAAACGGGAGATTCCAAAACGCCATTATGATTAGGTGGATCGTGGCGTTCACTTATTCGCATCCGGGGACTTGTCTGGAACTCTCAAAATTGCTGATGTACAATTACAAGCAGAGTGCAACATTCCTGCCTTCAGCTGTCATTTGCTTTCTGATTCATTCGTTTGATCACACCTTTGCCCATACAACTGATTAGTAATGTCAAGTGGCTATCAAAAAAAATAAACAATTTGCCCACCAAGCGGATTTAACTTCCTCCTGTGGTCAGCGATATAGCACCTGACCGCCTGTTTAACGCATTGTTTTGTACTTTATAAAATTATGGCGAGCTAACTTCGCTCCATCGGCCCTAGTGGTCAGTTTCTTCTTCGATTCTACTCCTGGCCACCTTTCCCATCCAAACATTCATTGCTAACTGTGTGGCTGTATTTAAGTGGTGTCTGATATCCTGAAGGACAAAGGAAACGCACATGAATTTGCGTCATCAGTCCGACAGTTGCGATGAGCAGTCTCAAATTACAGAGTGTGGTTAAAATCTGCCTCTTAATCATGTTCACTATAACGGCAGGCTTCCTTGAAATCTACGTTAGCAGTACACATTTTGGCCAAAATGTACGCCGAAACTCAGTATCGTATTCTCCACAGCTCTCACAGTGCGACACCACTTCGCGCATTTCACGCAGTGCTACTGGACTTAAAATTTTTTCTGGAGATGGTGGTCTTGTTGTACTAGGGGACATGCTAGAGTGCTTGATGCAGTGACAGTAAGTGTTAGTTTTAGGCTGAAGTCAATTCCACTGTCGCGAAGTTGCTCCCCAAACAATTCATTTCATTTGTTTCGATGACAAATTTGTACTGGCGCATATGCCCCGGATATTAGTAACTTTTGAAATGAATGCGTTAAGACAAAAGTCGGAGAGCAAGTCATCGTCAGGCTTGCTAATAGGCAGATAAGTAGAGTACTTTCGAATGTCTCTGCCTTTGACAGAGAGTGAAATCCAAAGAGAAATGTTTTTTTTATTGAAAAAACTTGGCAAAGACGAAACAGTTAATCCTGAATTACGGCACACTTTCCCTCTTTCCCTCCCAGCATAATAATCTGCTAAGCCTATCATTCATCTGCAGCTGCATCGTACAATTTTTATCAGCAAAGTTGCTGATGACCGCGGTTCCGGGAACAGTCTAAAAAAGCAAGCTAAAGAATGTGTCGCATTCCTGAAATGTTTCCAGATGCTAGGACGAGTCGTGCTGGGTACTGGCTTTCCTACCGGCACAATGTGCTGCATAATCGGAGCAGTGTTAGCTCTCACTGCGCTAGGACATCACTGTGCACCTGCTTCCGAAAAAAAATCTTAACAAAAATAAGAATGGCTAAGAATTTCGCAAGTATTTCTAAGAAAAGCAAAAGCAGTGAGCGTTGTCACTCAGTAATGAGAAACAAGAGCGCTGAAGCGTATTCACGCAATCCTAAAAAAATACCGGAAAGAGTTCAAATGTGGTAAATACATCCGCCTAAAGATACAGATATAATTTTATTAATATGTAAGATTTAAAGCAAAGAAAAATTTAGAAATTGTGAGTTGCATCAGTGGCGGTAAGAAACGCGACGGTGGAACAGCAGCTGATCAAAAT